ACGGATGCACGGATGCACGGATGCACGGATGCACGGATGCACGGATGCACGGATGCACGGATGAATAAAATAAGGTTGATGAAAAGGTATACCCCACATTCTGTGTGTTATAACTTTCTAGTTTCTGGAAGAGACTTGTTAACAACTTACATAGTAATAGGAATCTTGGATTCAGCATTGCTGTCCAGCTGCATGCATGATGATGATACTGCCTCTGGCCTAAGTGATACAGCTTCATTTACTGGGTCAACAAGTACGTCTCCTTGTACATCAATCCCTAACTCTATTAAACACTCTATACACAAGAAAATGGTGCCATAAGATTATAATAACAGTTGTTGTAACGTTGAGGATTGTCTTTCATTGTTTGTTTGTGTACTAATTTGCTTACTTTGTCTGTCTGGCTGTCTGTCTGTCTTGTCCTTCTGTCTGCCTGTCTGTCTGTCTGTCTGTCTGTCTGTCTGTCTTGTCTGTCTGTCTGTCTGTCTTGTCTGTCCGTCTGTCTGCTTGCTTACACATATAATACTAAACTTACTTGCCAAGCTTTCAGTGACCCCATTGCAGAACAAAAACGTGACAACTGGGTTTTGAAAATGCACTGGATGATCCTTACTGCATTCAACAAAAACCTAGTACAAATAATTTGGTCAATTTTAGATTGTATCTAAAAAATCCTCCTATAACAGTATAAGGGAGGTTGACAGAGAGATAGATTTCATCTTCAAATGTGTTAAAAACACCATTTTTTTAAAATAATACCTTGGCTTGGTCAAAAAGGTCTTTATCTCCAAACTGTCCTTGACCTAAAAAAATTAAAAATAAATTAATGATGATAGCAAAAATATTAAATGCAAATAGCTTGACACTTGGTAGTGGCCTATAGAATAGGACTTGACTGTATTACCTTCCCATATTTTATGTAAAGATTTAGGATTTCTAGCAATGACTTTGATCCAGTTACTTCCATTGTTAGCAATGACATCAACTATGCAAGAAGTGTTGACTTGCTGTTCTGAATCTTTTGAAGGGCTGAAATTAAAGGTTCTCAACACAGCGACAACACCATTAGACTGCTCTGTTGCCTTGACAACACCTTGTAGATGAGTGAGATTAGTGCTTTGTATGTGACTAGCTTTGATTGGAACTTGTTTTGTTTGAAGCTGTTGAAAAATAAAACATGATGTACTCAAGAAAATCCATATATACTTATTTCAAATAAAGTTATAGTCACCAAAAACCTAGAAAGCTGTGATCACTAAGAATCACGGGGAAATGTTTTATATCCAACAAGTAGAGCTTTTGACACAAACTGCAGAGGTTGAGGATACTCAGAGAAGGTTAACTTGTAACTGGTAGAAGATCTCAAGTCCATCAACAGTTATCAAGCGGTTGAAACATGTAAAATGTATCTACTCATAATCCTTGTTGGTCGCAGCTTTGTAGCTTTTTAGGTGACTAACCATATTGAAATTCATGTATATTATGACAGACAGATAGGCAGATACATACACAGAAACACAGAAAAAGAGAGACAGACATATCGACAGACAGACAGGCAGGTCTCTAAATATGCAGACTTTTAGACAACCAAAATACAGACCAGGCAGGCCACAGACAGCTGACTACTCAAAAGATTAAAGATAAATTTAAGCTCTGGATTCGTAAATATTCGATAATATCCTACTTCAAACAAATATTATTCACTACTCACAGATTCCAAGAATTTTAATTCAGCTTTAATTTTTCTGGTTAGCTTGTGCAGTCCTTCAATACAAGGGTTTAACTTTTCACTTCTTTGGAGAAGAAATGCAGCCAAATTTTGTAGTTCTTGTAGCTTGTCTAGCAGTACTTTCTCCTCTGTCATTGTTCTTGTCATCCATGTGTAGATTATGGGCGTCTAAATTCCCGAAAAATGTATCTAAACTTGACCTGGAAGTAGTTTCGTCCACTATGAAATAATTCTATCCAAAGTCACACAACGTATAAGAATGATAAACATAGCGTGACAAAGAAACTGGTAACCAGTGTAATGACTTCCTGACCTCTGCCAACGAACAGTGTTCTTCGAAATATATAAATGACAAGAGTTTTACAACATTGAAATTAAATATTACAGTACAGATATTTGAATTTTTAAAATGTTTTATGATAGACTAGCTACTTCCGCTTTGAGAATTGTGAAACGACCGTGAGTCTTCGCGCGCCATCTTTATTAAAAAACTGAGAATTTTATTCTTAATAAAAAATTATATGAGAAAATTTCACTGCTTACTTATTTTTGAATAAATATAGGCATATATAGAAAAAAGTTTATTGAAAAGTTTTAAATAGAAAAATAATAAAAGCCGGGAGAATGACTGGGCTGTTTGTTTATACTCAGTCTCTCGCGGTCTAGTATGCAATACAAAAGAATTTCCAAGAAATGAAATAACAGTCATTTAAGAAAAAAGAGAAAGCTTGTGAGTGAGATGGCTTCCACAACGCCGGCCAAGCTTGGAGAAACGATCCGCTTTTTAGAAAACGTTGGAATGCATCAAGATTCTATTGATTTGTTAATGCTTGCTTCATCACAACATTCAATGATTGTACGATTCAAAAATCTAGTGGAAGATGCTTCTCAAAAAACCTTCATATGTAAGGTAGAAATCGGTGGTTTGTTAGATGAATGTATAGGTTATGGGCAGTCGAAGAGAGAGGCGAAGATCAATGCTGCCGACGACGCCATCGCGAAGTTGACTGATTATGTGAAGGTCCCAAAACCAAGGGAAGGAACTCCACAGGAGGAACCTTCTTCATCGAGAAGACATGAAACAGATGTTACGGTATGCTAAAGGAATAGGATTTTATAGAATATATTTTGAGGTTTTACATGTGTAAAATGCTTATTTGTCTAAATTATTACTAGTTCGTGTAATAAGGCCCCTTTCTCTTTCTTATGATAGTAATCGAATACATCTGTATTATTAATTCACCCTTAAATGCATGGAATGTACCACCAAAGACTTGATAAGGTTTAATGGTTCATAAAAGATAAAAAGGGGGCCTTTGCAAGTGTTTTGAAAGGAAAATTGAAATATTTGAAGGATGTGAGGCATGAATACAGTTGAGAGTGTGACAACTGATGACACATATGGGGAAATTGAAGTGTGGCTGCATTGAATTGAACTAAAATGACTCTATTTCAACTGAAAAAGACACTCAAAAAATCCATATTGTATCCATATTCATGTGTCATGTCAATGTGTCTCTTGCTCAACCATTAAACAAAGAAATGATACTCTATGAAATGACTTATGGTCTTTCAGCCATTCTCAATCACACGGGCCCTCTAGCAATTGTTTGTCGCGACAAAGAAGGTTTTGGTGGACGTCAATCACAAGGCCATTCCATAACATTGTCAGAAAACACAAAGCTATAACGGCACGTGCCTATAGAATGTCATGGAAATGCCTTGATTTACGTCCACCAAAAGCTTCTTCGTTGCGACAGAAACAATCGCTAGAGGGTGCGTGTGATTGAGAATGCCTGTAAATGGGAAAACATTGCACCACAACGAATATTAGGACTATTCCAGAATGCTATAAGTACATCATTAATTAGCCCATATGATTGTGTTCTAGACATCTATGAATGAATCCCCAAGCTACAGATCCAGTTATCCCAGGTCACTATCATTGCCTGAGAATACCAACAATCTTTCATTGGCCCATAATTCAGTCGGAGAGCTGCAAGAGCTTGCTATGCAACGAGGATGGCCAGCTCCTGAATATAAAGAGATTGACGAATATGGGGAACCACATCGCATGACTTTTTTAATAGAATGCAAGGTATTTGCAGTTCTTAATTCGTTAGAGTAATAAAATATTATTTATCTTATCCGTAACATCATGGAAGTTTTCAAGGGCACATGGAATGTCATGGAAATGCCTTGTTTGACATTCACCAAAACCTTCTTGCTGTGATAGGAAATTCTTTACAGGGCAAATCGAAAAACCATGGGCACCTGGAAATATTTCAGGAATGTTCTATTCTTCTTTGGCCAATCAGAATTGACTTTCTAACCACAAGATAATCGAAAGATAACACTGACGCTTCTGATTGGCTTGAAATTTTTTCTAGGTGCCCACTTTTTTCTTCCGATTAGTATATGTAATAAGACTCCATGCTGTCCAATTAAGAAATAATTGGACGAGGAAAATTTCGAGGACTGACAAAATTGGATGAGGCTGTAGGCCGAGTCCAATTTGGCAGTTGAGAGGAATTTTTCGAGTCCAATTATTTCTTGATTGGGGAGCATGAAATACCATTACCTATTAATTATATAGATACCTAATTAATCCCATATCAACAAGACCTGTCCAATTACGAAAATAACTGGACAGTTACCTATATGGGATTAATGAGAAGCTGTATAATTAGCACTGTAATATACCAACAAAGAGTAATGAGTTTATTGCTGCATTTCCATCAAAATGTTCTCAGTTTTATCAAAATGACATATGATCATTTTACTTTTAAAATATTTCCTTATAACTAGTTTTAAATAAAAATATACTCAAAAAAACTTTTTAAATATTTTACAAACTCGAATAAAATACTAAAAATAATATTTTAAGAAGCAGAAAAATTTTGAAAAACAATACTATAACAGATCTTTTGAAGATTACAAATGTATGAATATGAACATGTACAACGTGTATAGACAGATTATACTTTTAAACACTTTTAGTAGACATACTGAAAAGGATTGGATTCAAGGGGGATTGGACTCCAAGGGATGGCAGAAGGCTTCCAAAAAGTATTCGTCCCTACCCTGCAGAAAGACACTGATAATCCTAGTTGATGGAAGGGGCTAAAACAATTTGTATTGTACTAACATATAAGTTCCTGGAAATATTCATACCTACTCTCCATGGAGAGGGACTGGAATTCCAAAGGGTGGAGAGGATCTGAGTAGGGTATATCGTGTAGTTCCAGAAAATATCCATACCTACCCATAGAGGGGACTAGATTTTCACAGGGGCTGGGAGGGTATATTATGTAATTCCAAAACTTATTTAGATCTTCTCCATGGAGGGGTATTGAAAATTGCCAGGAATGGGGAGGGCGTATAATGTAGTTTCCAAAAAAAATTCATATCTCTACATGGAAGAGGAATAAATCGTCAAGGGTAGGGACAGTGGGTCCAGACAAATCGATCTCTCTTCCTGGGTCCAGCATATTCATGGAATTTCAGAATGTCCACTAATTAAAGTAGTTATGTTAGTGCCTATAAGTCCTGATTAATTCTTGGATGCCTGTAGGAATACCTTAGCATTACATTCCTTGCATTCAATCCTCAATACCGAGCTCTTCCCATACTGCAGGCCCTTCTCATTGCATGCAATCATAGACCCAATGCATGGATGCATAGACTGGACGGCATTCACCAAACTTTGTATCTCAATATAACGATATGTCTGTCCATCTAGTAGTGACCCTTCTCTCTTGAGCCTTTTATAGGGGGTAGCTATGATAGAGCGTATCTTTTTGACAGTCAAAACACGTGACTCTCTGTTTTCTGACTTCTTTTGTGCAGGTGTTGAAACTGGAGCTGCCATAATTACACTATCGTCTTCATCAATGTCATTCTTATCTTTCCTCGCTGAAAAAACCTTTTGCATTTTAGCCTCAGATTTTTGAATCTTAGGTGAAGGAGTAGGAAGGATTGGAAAAGCTAATACCTCGTCTTTCTCGTCGTTATTTATTTTCGTATCCCGTTTTACTTGTGGTGAAGGAGTAGTGTGAACTATGATGTCAGAGACCTGGTCTAAACCTTTCTCCTTAGGCGAGGAATTCTCATTAACTGCTGATCGTAAATCTTCGTCGTCTTCTCGTTTGAGGTCATTCTCATTAGCCACTTCTATGTTCTCTGACTCAGGTTTTGTTCTGTCCAACATGTGGCTCGTACAACCGCCATTTTGAACATGAATTTCTTGTTCAAATTTCTGACACAAATCGACTTTAACTGTAGCTTTCTTTTCTTCAACGCTACAATTATCACTTTCTATTCGTTCTTCTAGCTTTGCAGTGTCATCTTTAAACTCAAGAACATTCTCTCCAGTTGTTTTTTCAACAATGAGTGCTGTTGTTTCTTGGTCTTTTCTGGTTTTGTTCAACTCGAGTTCGTCATCTCCAAACTTTTCTTCCTCACAATTCGTCTTCTTTTCTTTCTTTTTTGGCCGTCTTAGCTTCAGAAATTTACCCCATTTGGAAATCTTCAGAAATCCTCGCTTCTTGGAAGTTTTTGACATCTTTAAATTGGAGAAATGAAGGAATAAAGTGGGCGTTTTTTTCGTTTGTACGAGAAAATTGTACGTTGAAAATTGAATTCGAGCGCGCTGAACTACTAGGTGGTTACTAAGCTGCCACAGGAAACCCAATATTTGTGTAGTTTTTCCTCTCCTCTCCTCTCCTCTCCTCTCACTTTTTTTATTCGCCAGGGGCGTAGCCAGAATTTTCCAAAGGCGGAGGTCCAAACTCAAAAATTAGCCATTTTGTTTGAGCCTCCGAAACGCCCACTATTTTCGATTTATCTTTTATTTTTTTTATTTCTAAAAAGCTGCCATTTTAGGGACAAAGCTACTATCAGAAAAGAATTATCCTAGCTTCTAGACGGTACCTTTGTTATTGTACCAGTCGAAATGGACAAAGTTACTCCCCTGAGGTTGAAAAGACAAAGCTATTCTCACAAATAAATTGACCTTCTAGTCGGTACCAACCTTTCACTTCTCAAAATATATTTTCAAATTGTTTTTTCAGTTAAAACATAATGTGTGTGAAGGTCGAGGAAGCTCTAAAAAGACAGCAAAGAAACAAGCAGCTGAAAAAATGTTAAAAATGGTTCAACCAAGTGTTAGTTCTGGTCCTTTTATTTCCAGAAATCTCAGTACACCAGGTTTAGAGCAGGTATTTATTAGAATTATCTATACATCATGAAAAGTAAAAACGTATCTCATTCTTGCTTGAATCAGAAAACTGCTAGGCATTCCAACATTTTTCTAGCTGGTTTTATAATTAGGAGTGCAAAAAATTGGCATAAATACAGGGAATCCAGATACGTAAATCATTGATACCAATGATGTGCAGATAATTAATTCAATTAAAAAAATATGTAGAATAAAAAGAGTGGGATAATGACCTCCTCATAAACGCGTAGTCTGCATAGCAGGGACAGATCCAGCCAAAAATATAGGGAGGGGGGAGGGGGTGGTTGACCCAATAGACCTTATTCGTGGTGTGACAATGTTTTCCCAATTCAGCGTGACGAACCTCCAGGGGATTCATTTTCTTTTGTTTTTACTCTTCGAAAAATTCATGAGTATCCCAAAGGATACGAAAGGAATAGCGATGATATCCCGACGAGTTTCAAAACAAGAGCTCTTCATTCCCCCAGAGGTTTGTCACGCTGAATTGGGAAAACATTGTTACACTACGAATAAGATCTATTTTGCTTGACTTGTAAGGTACCAAGGCTCATTTTACTTTAAAACCATTACTTTTATCAAATAAAACTAGATATGGCTGAAGGGGGGGGGGGGGGGGGGAGGGCTATGCAGCCCCTCTTTGCCCCTCCCTGGACCCAGCCCTGCATAAGCAGGCTTTCTAGGGAGGGGTAATTTTATAACCTTGCCAACAGGTATCCCACAAATGAAAATATCAGCTAAGCTTCAAGAAGCGAGAACGAAGACCTCGTGGCCAGACTCTCCGACCTAGATAAGCTTAGCTTTTTTAAATACTAAATGATACTTATGTTATTTTCATTTGTGGGAAATATAAATTAACCAGGCTTCTTAGGTTTTTTCCTTCTTTTTCCCCCTCCCCTATAGCGAGATTCTCCTCGTGCTAGCGTCTCTACAGCAGCCATTATGAGGACACGTGGGAAAGAGCCCCCTATCTCATCTATTCCATTAGAAAAAATGAAGATAAGCTCATCTGAAACAAATCGACGACCACAAAATTTCTATTGCAACAAACTTAGCAAGGAGGCCAAGAAAAATAGCTGGAACATTGAATGGAAGGACCTTGGAGAAAAGGGATATAATGGAAACTATCAGTGTTTTGTCCAAATCTCCACTGATCCTATGACTGTATGCTGTGGCTCTGGGCCTACTCTCTCATCTGCACACGATGACGCGGCCATGAATGCTCTGAATTGCTTGAAAGAATAGGCTTTGATGAAGTTTTTTTGTTATATCAAGCAGATTCTTGTCATGGATTTGTGTTGGAGAACATGGTGCATATTGGTCTAGCTTGGGTACAAACATTTCGTACACCGATGTCTTTGTATTCAGCGGTGAATAATGCATTCTGGTCTAGAGGTACAAAAATATTTTGTTCGCCATGTTTTTGTGTTCCGCGGTGATGCATTCTGGTCTAAGTACAAAAATATTTTCACCATATTTTTGTGTTCAGCGGAACGTGATGCATTCTGGTCTAGCTTAGGTACAAAAATATTTGTTCACCATGTTTTTGTGTTCATCGGGACGTGACGCATTCTGGTCTAGCTTGAGTATAAACATGTTTTGTTTATCACACGCTATATGGGAGTTAACTCGGAATAGCGATGGTGCATTTCTGGTCTAGCTTGGGACCAACATATTTTATTCAGGGCATCATGCCTTACATTGATGTTCTCAAAAGCTAGACCCTGGTCGGGATAGGGAGCAGTGTGCATGCATTCTATAACTTAAAGAAAGTCGGGTGGCAGTTTACCTAAGTTGGACCACGTTGCAATTGTTTTGTTTTTGTTTTTTTTTCCTTTTTTTGTTTTTTTGTTTTTATTATTATTTTATTTTTATTATTATTTTATTTTTTATGAATTTTTTTAAATTTTACTGAAACCGCCTTGATTAACTGGTCGTACGTGCTTGCATTGTGTAAGTTTATGATCATGACAATAATAATAATAAATAATCTTTATTGAGGTTATCGCTGTCACCATAAGGTGATTTACAAGAGA